CTTAATCCATTCCTCCATATCAAGTCCACATTTTCTTGCAAGCCCATCGACACCAAATCGAACCTTGTCAAAGTCATATCTCCCTCATAACTTAGTCCCGACATGGCATTTTCATGACATAACCACACGACCATGGCCAAAACCAACCAAGTCCGTGTCTTTGGATTTTAGGGTCTAACAGGTACCCGGGTTATATAGGTTGGCCCATGTAACCCGCGTGCCAACTTGTATTACCCACCACGGTTACCCCTACTCTCACCCCAACCCTAAGTTTAGTTACATATTTTTTAAATTAAAGTGTGATTGTCCCATTTTATTTGTCATACTTATTATTTATTGGTCAAACCAATTATTTCTTCTTTGTTTATTTTCTTTATTATTGTTTTACTTATGTTTAAATTTGTTTTTTTTTTTTTTTTTTTTGTGTGTTTAATATTACTTTTAGTGTAGTTTATAAATATATAAATTTTGTATATTAATACTAAATTTAGTATTATAAAAAATTGATTCAATCAAACATCGTTAACCGAATCATACACATGAAATGAAACGGAGTATAACTTAAAAGCATTAATGATCTTTTTATTTCTCAGAATTTAATTAATTAAAGTTATTAATGATCTAAGAAGTGCCTAACTTGCCGGCCTAATTCTGTTCTTTTTTCTTTCTATTGTTTAATTAGTATAATAAACTAACAATAAAAGATAGTTGTCGTTTCAAAAAAAAAAAAAAGCTAGTTGTGTTCTTGTAGGGATGCATAAATAAAAGCATCTCTGTTTTCAAAAATAAAAAATTAAAGCATAACATCATTGAATAAAAGTTTTTACAATCCCACTTAACAAATTTAGTTTCACATCTTTTTTCACATTGACTTATCACATTGTAAAGCTTTTAATTCACTACTACTTTTGAATTCATCATTACTTTCACATTCAAAATTTATCTTAAATAACTAAACAAAAACCTTCTTACAATCATTGATCATTAAACTATAAAAATTATAGAACTGAAATTAATAATGTAGCACCATTGATTTTGAGTAGTACACATTGCATGAATCCAACCAGGCCAGATACTAATTTAATGCAATAATCAAAATTAAAGTAGCCTGCTGCTGTCAAAATTAAAGGTGCAATTAATTTGTTGATTTTCAAAAGCAATTAAAGGAAGGATATGATTATGATAACGTTGAAGGTTATCATGAGGATCATCATTTGCACTAAAACCACGGACTTAATCTGCACAAATTAAAGTGGTGATTTGCGTAATCGTGGGTACCCCCGGCCCCATCCTATTTTATTTTTAAATGGGGAATTCTATTTGCACCACCCTAATTGCTATTTACACCACCTATTTAATAGGTGTGATAACTTTTAGGTGGTGTAAATAGAAAATTGCTATTTGAATTGGAAATAAAATAAAAAATTGTTCGAAGCGAACCATAACCATCCGTACATATAAATAATAATTTGTTGGAGAAGAAAAAATAAATGAAATATTTAGTTTTAAGGGTAAAAATGTTCACCTAACATAAAATGGAGAAAACCTGCCACTTTTAATATAATTGAGGGAGCAAATGTGAATAAACAAATAACTGAGAGGAAAAAAGTGTTATAATCATATAACTCAGAGGGAAAAAGTGTACAATTTTCCCTTAACCGGAAACTTTTAATTCAATTGTTATAGTGTCCGGTTCAGTTAGAACTGAACCGTGGTCATCCATACGGATACGCAATAATTTGTTAGAGAAGAAAAATAAATAAAATGTTTACTTTAAGGGTAGAAATGTCAATTTAATATATTGGGGGGGGGGGGGGGGAATCGTCACTTTTAGAATAATTGAGGGGGCTAATATGCTAACATGAATAATTCAGGGATAAAAAGTACTATAAGTATATAACTTAAGGGGAAAAAGTACAATTTTCTCTTAATTAAATTTTAAATTAAAAAATTATTAATTACACCTCATAAATGAGGTTTGACCAAGGTGGTGCAAATAGCAAAATGAACTCCCATTTGACTATTTACACCACCTATGTAATTATTAAAAGTTTTCACCTTTTTATAATTTCAAGATACTTTATACCTACTTTTGACCAAAGGGTGGTGCAAATAGCAACACCCGTTTAAATTCCATGCAATGCCTTAATTCAACACATTCTTTTTATGTGTTTCTGTAAGACATAGTTAATTAGTTGTAGTCCAAAAATAAAACTACAATGTTAAATTGATTTTTTTTCTTTAAAAAAAAATAAAAAATTTAAGGTCAATTATCATATAGTGTGATGACATCTCAATTATCCTTCCAAATGAGTGGTCCTAGGTTCGAACGCGGGTGTGGGCCTTAGATTTTTTTTTTTTTTTAACTGAAGATATTTGATAAAGTATAAAACAAATACTATCTTGTATTAAAAAAAATCATGAGTATTAAAAAAAAAAAAAAACTAAGAACATGTACAATAATTCACTGTATGCCCCTTTGTATATACTCCGTATATACTTGTAAATATAAAATAAAAGCATAATATTTATTACATTTATTGTCAGAATATAAAATATTCAACAACAACAAATACAACTACACATTTTGCTTATATTGTCTCCACCAGTTGAATATAAATATCTACTTTTAGAATATAATGTTCTTCAATTACTCTTAATTCACAAATAATTATTTTGTAACGCATAGACTATTTTATCATAAGATTATTACAAAATACTAATATGATTGGCTGATCGATCATCTTCCAATAACGTATAAAATAATATATAGAACACTTAATTTGTCATTTCTTTTCAATGATCTATCCATTAATAAAAATGAAATAAACAATATTAAATGTTGTACAGTACATCAAGTCATCAACATAACATACAATTCCTCGACAAAACATAAATTTTTGTTCTACGGCAAAAACAATAATTGAAAGGAACAGCAGAAGATCAGACGTGCATCACATGATTAACATGCGTGAACTGCTTTAAGTTGTCTTACTTTTGCATGAAATTTGTTCTCATTCATATGATTAGCCCATCATAAAAGAAAACATCAAAAAATGTTGACTTAGCTTTTTGATCAATTATTTGGGAAAGGTTTGATGAAATATAAAAATACAAAATACAGAATACAAATAATATAGATGACTCAAATATCCAACCTGCTAAGGTGCAAGGAAGCTACTTGAGTAATTGCCAGATCCTCTTAAATGCAATGCTCACAAACATTAATTTTACATGAGACTAGAATACTTTATTAATTAAGTAACTTGTAAATTTTAATAACCGATACAAGTTAAGTATATAAGTATACTCTCAAAAGAATTTTTTTTAAAAAAATATTTTTTAAGTTAGTACAACTCCAATCTGGCCTCAATTGAGGTAAAATAGATATAACAGTTACATTTTTTATTTCAATATATATACTTTTTGTATATACGATAATAAAAGAATTAATTCAAAATTCCGATATTGACGTGCGACTTCAATTCAACACACAAAAGGAAAATGATGATTAAATGAATCACACATATGAGACGCGTAGTAGCTAAACATACATTTGATTTTCTTCCAAATGATCACTAAATATATTATTAATGTTGTTAAGACTTCAATTCTCAATTGATTTCAACTATATAATATAATTGAGCAAATACCAATTCTAATCCCACAAGTATTAACAAAATGACAGTTTTGGTGCATATGTTTAATTCCTACAATTTTAATTTCATCCACGACTATTATTCTAATATCAATTTTCTTCCACAATTATTATTTTAGTACCAAAATTCATCACGCCGGACACCCCTATGTTTAAGACATGTCAAAATCTAAAATTTTTTAACGATATTTTTCGTCCTTTTTCAACTTAATATCCCAATTTGAACATGAATAACGAAATTTAAGTTCTATGATTGATCCAAATTCACAATTTTCATCCTCATCCTACATTAATTTGAGGATGATGAGAACGACGAGTTGAGATCGATCTGGCTTAAATTCCTCAATCCATTTGACTAATACGGGTGGAACTAAAGTTTGTATTTGCTCTAATATAATTTCATACGCAACTATAATTTTAGACACGCATGCATTATGATGCACTCGTAATTGACACCATGAAAAAGGAAATTCTGGTTACTGCCAGATATTCAAACTGGAGCCGATCGATCCTTAATTGTTTTTTATTTTCTTGCTTTCTTCCTTTCCATGCATCCTGCACTGAGTAATTAAACCTAATTGAATTGTGTGTGCTTACAAACCATACATGAGAGTTGTATTAAATTATTTGAATTATTTCTTACCTGTATATGCATATGTACACCTATTAAATTAATCGCAAAATTAGTCATTAAAATTTAAATAGTTGTGTTGGGTAATTGATCCAAATACCAACAACGAACAATAATATTGTTATTATTAACCATAATAATTGAAGCATCAGCATGTGAAATTTAGGTAAGTATCAATTCGTGTTAGTTCCACTTCTTTTTTAGTATTTAAACGTACGATATAGAATATGCAATTACAAACGTGTCGTGTACTGGGTGTAACGATATTGTTTTGATGTTGAGAAAAGTAAAAAATTAAGAGATGGAAAATAAAGGAGAAAAGTTAGTTGATGAATGAAAGCACTAGAGTACTGTCCGGAAATAGTAAATATTTCTCCGTAATAAATATTTTACAAATAATGCAAACGTAGGTGGGCGGGTCTGATATTTGACTTAGCTACTTGAGGCAGCAGCAACATGAATTGTTTTTTTTTTTTTTAGAGAATTGAAGATAAGGAATCGGAGGTTGTTTCCGAGTTGAAAACATACATTCTTGGTTGTCTAATTTTAATTTGTACTAAGCTTCTGTACTTGATGTTTTGAATTCATTTTTGGTTACAATATATGATGAGCATGAACATCATATCGATGATGCATATATATTGTGGGCATGCATGGCAGATGGAAGCTAGATAGGAAGAGAGAAGTAGGAGATGAGAGAATAATGCAACTAACATGTAAATATAAAATAAAAATTCTCTTCTGGGTCAAGAGAAAATTCAAATTAAAGTTACATGCATACTGATAAAAGTGAAGTTGAACTAGCCTAGTTACGGTTTACAACTACAGAAATAAACACAGGTACATATATAGGTACTACGTACGGGGGGTTATTATACTACTAAAGAGAAGAGAAAACACCCAGATCAGATGGATTGATTTTGTGGTCTAAGAGGTGAGGCCAAGCTAGGCTAGGCTAGGCTTCAATTCCAAGAGAGGAGATGGATGCATGAGATGGAGTATATATAGATTAGATTAGACGACTTGCAGTGCTGCTGGTTGGATGTTGGTCTCATCATCAAGTGGTTTGGTGGGAATATTAATATTATGATCAGCAGTAGCAGTTCCTCCTCCTCCTCCTCCTCCCTGGTGCAGTAGCTTGTCCTGGATGCTGCAGCATGCGGCAGCAGCAACGTTAATCTTGTCGGAGCAAATGAGTGATCCCAACTTCACAATGTCCACGATTTGTTCCTCGGTCAGCTCCTTTGGCAGCTTTTGTTTTTCTTCCAACGCCACTACTGTAGGTAATACTACTTGGGGAAGCCGCTTCTCATCGTCCTCCTGTTTTTTGCCTTTGTACATCGCGTAAAGCACCATTTGGAGGATGCCGAAAATGAATCCAAGCACATTTGGAACCTATATTTATTTTTTTATTTTATATATCCATCATCACGTACGTACCAATGAATTGAATATAATTGATCTCAAGTATATATAGTAGTGAAATGATAACTTACTGCTATGTTTATGTCTTTTAAGAGCAAGCCGTAGAAGAACCACATGACAGCGCTCACAGTTAAGAAAACTGATAGAAGAATTGGCATGTGCTCAACGCTCTTTGTCCTGATTACTTGCTTCTGCAAAACATATATTATTATTATTATTATATATATTTAATTTAATACTCAGCTCCGATCGATCCGTAATTGAATTGAATTAAAGTAAGAAATGATTATTACGTATGTACGTACCACAATGCACAAGGGCGCAACGAACACACACAGTGAAAAAACGAGGCAAACCCATCCCACAACCTGGGCCCGAACTGGTGCGCTTTTGAACAGAAACTGAGACACCAGAGCCACAGCGCCGAAACCAACAATCACCAACAGAACAAGCATCTTTATAGTTTGTACTCTGGCTTTCTTGTTGGCATAGTAAATGTAGAAGCCGATGTAAATGGTTTCAACCAAACATCCGAAAGAGTTGATAGTAATGAGAAGTGTGGCGTTGGACTTCAGGAATGCATAGTATATCCAAAGCATGGAACTGAATAGGGCTACCACATACGGAATTGATTGATACCCTTCTGCTGATTTCTTCTTGTAAATCTGGTAGAATGTAGGCCTGCACCGCACGTATATATGTAGCTTTTCTTTAATTTTCATTATATATACTATACTAGTTTCATCATCACTAATATTATATATATATATATATATATATATATATATATATATATATATATATATATATATATATATATATAGGGACGGATCGGAATTGAAGAAGCAAGCTAAGGAAACTCACAGTGGAGAGAGGAAGACAATGAATGAGATAATGTTTCCTGCACCAATATAATAATGAAAACCATAATTATTTAAGTTTAATTTGCATGAAAATCATATACATAGCTTCAGAGCGATCAATCAGAATAACTAACTTAACTTGATGACCTTCAATTCCATCGCCAAGCTAAGCTATCCTAGCTAGCTACAAGTCTACAACGCCCGCAATAATATATACGTATGTGCGTTTATGTTTATTTGTGTATATGTTGCCCGCAGGCATGCTTTAACCACACCAACTACTATACAATGCTTCAAAATTATTGTACGTGTGAACTGATTACATTAATGCGCTAATTACATATTGAGGGCTGGGATAAATCAGAATAGTTATTTTGCAATAATACGAAAGTTGCTGTGGTTGGTATGTGTCTGTTTTCTGTTTTGTTTCGTTTTCTTAATTGAATAGCTGAGCTAGGAAGAAAGGAATGAAATGAAAAGAAATAAAACAAGAATATAATGGTTATATGCAGTTACATACCAAGGACTCCAAAAGCAAAAACCCAATGACCAGAGAGAGCCATCGATCGATCTGGATGTCTTGACGATTATCTGATCTATAAACCACCAAGAAACTCTCTCTGTCTCTTTGGTGTTATGAAGCAGGCCAGGTAGGAATATTTGTAGCTACTTATAATCAACTCTGCTTCACAATGAAATGAAGAGAGGTTGGCAGGCCTTTATATAGGTGGTGGAAACTAAAGTTGGTTCAATGGTGACCAACTTTCTTTTATATATTATTATTATTATTGCATGAATTAAAGGACATGTACTAATATATACATTTCTCCAACTTTAAATGTTTAGCTAGCAAGGGTCCCATTATGGTCTTTTATTATGTCATCCCCCTGCCCACCTAGGCACTAATTGCCTTAAATCTCATGCTTTCCACCTTCTTGGAAGGGCGGGCTCGTAGAATTCTTTCTTTCCAAAATATTTTTTGTTTTCTGCAAATGTACAACTCCTATTCAGCTCAAAAATGATGGAATGGCCAATAAATGGACGCCAATTGCCGGCAATAATGGAGAAGGCCGGGCCCCATGTGGATCCAACAGTTGCCACGGGTTAATGAAAATCGTGGGGATTTTGCTTTGCTTCAGTTGGCTTATCTTGTCGTTGTGGGTTACGTCAATCGCGCGTTAGCTAATCTCAATTTTGAGATGCATACCTATTGGAAAAATTTGCTGATGAAGTGAAAATAAATAACTGCTGTTATGGAAGCGAATTCACCGCTACCGCTGCAAGCTCACAATAGCGGCGTCGCCCCGAAGGTTAACACAACAATTCCTGTCCCCGTACATCCGGAACAGGGATTGAAACTTACACAACCTTCTTAAAGTAGATAAGGAACAATAAATTTAACAAGTCAATGTTTGTCTGACCGAACTTAAAGAATACCCCATTTAAATAGTAGAAGCCAAATAATTATGGCCACCTACTAACTAACAAATGTTTCGAGTTTCACTAGCGGCAGTGTGGGAGCAACCTCTCAAAGTGAGGGGGGCTCCTTGTGCGCAGTGAGCACCGGTCTAGCCTCTGTGGTTCATGTTCAGTTGAGTCACTATGATTTACATCCTCCCAAATGCTCTGTCGGGCCGGGATGTGGGGGACCCTTAGGGTTGGAGTTCAACCTTTTGGAAGAATATTGAGGACTCACCAAATTTGTGGTGAATATTAATCAAGACTATATCACCAGGATATTCATATCATATGACAATTAAAATTATTAATGCATTCATGTCAAGCTAAGTAATACGTAAGATTGAATTTTTCATAAATCCAGATATATATGTAAATATATTAATTAGCTCAATATATATAGACATATATGGAAGCTAGCTAGGAGGCCAATACTAATTATACTACATCTACATTTACAAATCTAATAAGAGCTAATAAAATTAGACCCTCACAGAAACTAACAAATATTGGTGTTGAATTGAATGGTTCATATTATTTTGATTTTAATATTTTTCTTATTTTACCTTTTATTGTATCATTTACTTTTCTTAAATACCATTGCATTCTGTTAACTATTTATTATTTTTAACTTACTCGTTGATTTTCATAAAGAAGGTTATAGGTTCGAACCTTATCTGATCTCAATCAAAATTGACATAATTGTTAAACATATACCACAGTTAGAAATTATGGAATTTTCGACCACCTGAAAGTGATCTTAAATCAAGTCGAAAGTAAAAAGTCATCGGAAATAGCAACAAAGGTTTTGCCTGATACCAAAAGTGGTCGGAACAAGGCTTTCGACTTGATTTAATATCATTTTCAAGTGGTCGGAAATTTCATAATTTCCAGCAGTGTACTATGAATATATTGGAGTTCATTAAAAAAAATACAATATAAAATTTAACATGAACTTTGGTCAATTAATTAGAATCACGCATTGGACATTGATGAAATTGTATACTTAATTTACAGTATATATTTAACACAAATGAGAAACTATGTCTATTATCATTTTCTTTTTAGTGAAGGGAGGTTTAGTTTTGTTTTTGAAGGTGTACTGTGCCAAGACACTAAAACTGCAATGAAGCACAGCAGGGACTATATTAAATCAATAATTCATTTTTGGCGGAAGTGGGAACAAGAAGAAGCGTGAATCACGTCAATTAATAGGATTTTGTGTTGTAAAAATTATGCTTGCTTGGATACTATCCATTGCGAATATTTTCCTCTAAAATTGCTATCGTACTAGTTAATTTTATGAAGAATTATGCCACATGTCATAATTATGGGTTCTTGAAATATTTACATTTATGAAAATTTTGATAATCTCATATTGATATTCGGCAGGATATCGAATGATACTTTGATAAATTCTGAAACATTAATTTAAAAATACACATTGGGCATTAAAATATTTGCGCAATAAACATTAATTTCGAACACCGGCCGTGTTGTTTTTTTATTTATTTTTTATTTTTAATTAATTATTTTATTTAAAATTATTTTTAAAATCTGCAACCGTCACGTCAGCAAAGTTTAAGGTAAACATGTTATTTCGGACCTAATTGCATGAATTTGTGTTGTTCAGAGATCCAATTACATTTTTTTTTTGTTAGTTCAATGACCTAATTATACTTTGGTGTTGAATTAAGTGGCCTATTTGACCCTTAGGGGATGTTTGGTTCATGGAAAATGTTTTCCAAAGGAAAACATTTTCCTTAAACCGGAGGAAAATGTTGTTTTCTTGTGTTTGGTTCATGGAATTCATTTTTCCATTGGAAAATGAATTCCTCAAATTTGAGGACCAAGGATTTTGTTTTTCATGGAAGATGGGAAGAAAAAGTGAGATGGAATGCATATTTTACCCTTGTTTACTTTTATTAATTTATAGGGGCATATAGGTCTTTATACTTTTTATTCTTTACAATTCTAAATCTAACCAAACAATAGAATTAGTATTTCCAATAATTCTTTTTTCACCAACCAAATAATGAAATTCATCTTCCTAATAATTATTTTTCCATAAAATTTCAATTCCATTCATCTTAAAATATTTTCCACGAACTAAACTAGCCCTTATTCCTTAATAATAATGGAAGAATGAAGAGGCCCAACTTCCTGTAACGATTGACAGCTCTGGTCCGACAAAACAATACGGGGAAAATGCCCTACTTCTTTTTCCCGACTTAAAAGTAAAGTTCCTTTTTATTTTGTTGAGATTTGAATCTTGCCAACTTTCGTCTATGGGCGCAAAGTATGATCCCCTATTAGTGCATTCAACAATTTTCGTTACAATGTAATTTTATACTAAATATTCATTTTTATATCCTCAATATTATCATAACCAAAATAAATATTTATGTAAAACTTTTTTCTGTTAAATTAAAAATTTTCATCAAATTGAATAATAGTTATTATGATTTTTTTTTAAATGTTGGTGACAAAAAAAACTCACAACCATTAGTCATATGTGTATATTGGGTAAACCATGTTTTCGTATAACAACTTGCAAACAAAAAATGAGTGGCCATATATAACTGCATTGAGAAGACGTTTTAGTGCGACAAGCTCAACCGAGAAAGTGTTAACAATAATTGAATTTGTGACTTAAGTACGAGAATCATGACTCACCATTGATTTTGGGATTATTGTGCTTTGAAGTTTTAATTTCCTAGGAAGTGATTAAATTTTCATTACAGTGAAATAATAGGACCCTAAATAATTATATTTATTTATTAATATAAAGCAAAAAAACTTGGAATTATTATTTGGTGTGTGTATAAGATATACATGTTCGCTTTGGTTTGCTTTAGTAGATAGCTACCTGCGCTACTAATCTTTCATTCTTTTGGTGTCTTTTTTATGAGATAAGATAATGATTAAAATTTGTTTCCCTGAAAAGAAAATAGATGGCAGAGATTCATGCACAGGAGACCAAATGTAACATTGAAAGTAAATAAGGTTTGGTGGAGAAACAGGTTCCGAAATTTAGATGAGAAGTGTGACATAAGGTGGCCGGGGACACGTTGCTTGAATTGATAAAAGTGGACGAATGTTTACCATGAAACGTGGCGCTACTTTGGGCATTATATATATTATCGATCTGCTTTATAGAGTTTTAGTCCGTCTATGTTTTCATACATGTCGCTTGCATCCTCTTTTTTCATGCAAAAAGGAGAAATACATTATTTTCCTAATCATTTAAAAGCTTGCTACCACTTTTATTTTGTTATGTGTGCTAGCTGCGCTGCATTATTAATTATTGAATCGAATTATATATATTGAATGGGATCGGAACGTACTCCTCAATTATATTTCTTGATCATCTTTAACTTTGACACGATTGTATTTCGGGAGCCGTACCGTTAAGGTTTCAATTTCCATGCCATAAATATTATTTTATTTATTTATTTTACGAATACCCATATATGTTCTTCAAACATAATACATAGTATATATTACCATTCTGTAAATTAAAAACTCATAACGTGTACATTAAAACTCAATCGTGTATGTTAACAATTACATACTTTGTTAGTAAAATTATATTAAGAGCATGAATTAACTCTTTGATTGATCTTTTAAAACAGGTTTTAATAAGCTTACCAACAAAAATGTTCTTTGTAGTTATTTATAGTTCTGAATTTATTATTGCGGTGCATTCTTTTCCCTTATGGCTTATGAGTATTTTCAACGCCTTGACAGAGGAGCAGGTAGGAATGGTGGCGGGTGTGCTCTACCATATATGGTGAGCCCGCAATTCTGCTGTTTGGGACAAAGCACTGCCGCAACCTGGAAATACTGGAGATGCGCACGGTTGGCCACCGCTGCCTTCCGCCAAGTTCACCACCGGCAGCAGTCTACGTTGGCCTCGGCTCCCTCGGCAGTGTCGGCGCCCTCCACGCACACCAGGAGGAAATGTTGGGTAGATGCTGGCTACAGGCAAACCACGCGAGATGCGACGTATGGGATGGTTTTACTAGGCCACGATGGTGCTTTTGTGGCGGCAAAATGTGGCAAGTTGCTTGGTGCTTTTTCGCCTCTCATGACAGAAGCGTTAGCTTGTAAGGAGGCTCTCTCATGGCTTAAGGACCACAATACACTTGAAGTGGATCTACTTACTGATTGCATCGAGCTACGGAACACCATACATTCAAGCTCAGTGACTACTTTATCCTACATTGGAATGATTGCT